AGTACTTTAAACTGTATAAATAATGTAAAATTAAATTGATTTAAACTGCCAATCATACGAATGTCTGCCTATGACCTTTGTGCCGTAACGCCGTAACGCCGTAATGTCGTAATATAGTAACGCCATAATACCGTAATGCCGTAATTTAATTATTCAAATATACCCAGACAAATCTCGTGCCAATAAGTAAATGAAAAAAGAACATAAGCTATTTCTCCACATACATGTCAAATAAACTTAACAATATGCCGCAAGTATATTGTGAAGGCAAACAGTCTAAGCCACGCTTTATTTGATCAGGACAAAATCGTTTTACAAAATCATTCAAAATTACAGGTATGTGCTAAACTATTTTAAGTAAAAGATGAAAAAGGGCGAAAAATAAACCGAATTAATTGTACTGGTAAATATTTTATGCAATATTCGCATATGATATATGGGGCTGTAATAAATAAATCAAACGGTTAATAACTTAAACAGTAATTATTTTAAATACACAACACCAATATAAATTCGGGTTTAACCTTTTTTTTTCACTAAATAAAAATATATTCATCATATTTATTTGGTAGAGCATACTTTCTTTCGTATAGAGCCATACTTATTCCATAAGCATCAATCAGCAGTAGTCAGATTAAGAAGACAGTTTGAAACTGAGTTTATTGCAATGATGGTAGACCACACGTAAAAGATAACTCTTGCAATTATGTTCTATAGCACATAATGTTTTGAAGAGTATAGTTTTATGAGTATCGGTATGTGGTGCAGGAGTAAAATCCGTACGCACATCCTGTCAGAAAGAACAAAATCACATTAAAGCGCAATCCAATCAGATTCATGAATTCGGATACACCCTTTCACTTACCATATAACCATGCACTTCGTTGCACTCCGTTCCTGGTATTATTATTCCTTGTAGAAATTTTGAATTACTCACTCCATGGAAAATGAATCTAACCCGCATGAAGTTGTAGCCAGGAACACCCTTGGAAGGAATCTAACCTGCACGAAGTTGTAGCTAGGAACACCCTTGGAAGGAATCTCACCCGCTCGAAATCGTAGCAAGTAACTCTCTTGGAAGGAACTCACCCGCATGAAGCTGTAGCCACGAAGCTGTCTAGCCAGGAACACCCTTGGAAGGAATCATTCTACGACAGTTTCATAAAAATCTATATTAGTATAATATCACAATAGATTTATAACATATAACAATATCATAATTTCCAACAGTGTAATACCTTATGCACATCCCGCTTTAAGGATTCAAAATTATTAGTCGCCTCATCCTAGGAATTAAAATTATTCTAGTTAAAAATAATTACGCATATTTATCTCTTCCTGATTGCTCCTTTTTGGTTAAACGTTTATATTAAATGTATTACCAGACATAGCCCCATTTACTGTCTCTACTGACGTTTACCGTCCCATTTATAGTTAGTTGGTAGATGTGGATTTTTGTACACGAACGCGTATCGTTCCATTTTGTTGTCTATTTTTTTGCATTTTTGATTTCTAATTTTCCGTTTTGAAAAATTACATCACCAGATTCCGCCTCTACCATTTTTATTAATTTGCCCGTGCCTAAATCTGGTTAAGAACCCTAAGATAATAAATTTAGGGAATTAATAGTATTCTTAACTAACATATAGCTTCCATTTGCCATCAGTCAACCGAGAAGGTCAATTGTGGCTGACAGTGTCAGTAACCGAGAAGGTTTTAAACATCGAGCAACCAAGAAGGTCACTCATGCCCCAACACTGCCTTCGTGGCTCGTCGAGAAGACTTGAATGATAGACACCGAGAAGGTTCCTACCACGCCACCTACCGATAACTAAAAAATCACTAATACTTACTGGTTACTTTTTCCTGCCTTTGACCATTCTCTGTATCGACGATTACCTCGAGAGACTTGAGGTAACAATCTACTTTTCGTTCATTTGGTTCTAAATTACACACATTGAGGAATCCAATGATGTCCATGGATCATGCATGTTGTCATTTTTTTTAATGGCTCATCACCTTCGCTCCACAAAAAGTCTTGAATTGTCTTTGTGCTTTCCATTAACAAAAGCTAATTTACAAAAATTGGAAATATTAGTTTTGCAATTTCTTATAATAAAATCTACTTCAGTAGAAATAATACATACATCTTTTGTGCAAAATATTCATGTACCTATTTTTAGAAATGAACAAAAAGGTTGCAAAGAAAAATGCAAGGTTCATCTGCATTAACCTTCATACTGTGGACATGATTAGAGTGAAAATTAATTATCAATTTTTTTGTGTAATTAAGCGTGTTTGGGAATACGCGTTCTCTCAAATATGGAAATTTTTTTAGCGCTAAGTTGAAATCGTTTGAGTTTTGCACAATAGCCACTATTAATTTAGTCAATTTATAATAAATTAGGAAACGATATCATTACACAATGCAAAAAAAACAATACTACTGAGCCCTAATTTCTCCACACAGTTGTGATTGGATGCATGAAATCCCGTCTTTAATTGGACAAACTTGTTCATGCCACTGTCACAAAATCAAAAAAAAACATCGTTTTTCTTCAAAAAAAAAAAACATATATTCAAAATATTTTTTTAAGCGAAAGTATTCACTTCCAGAATTCTTTCTGCTAGTAAAAAAAAAAAAAAAATCGAATTTAAACCATAGGTAATTTTCATAAAGTTTTTGTTCAGTACTTTATTCTAAAATTTGCTGAGACCTATGTTTACAAGCTTGTAATTCAAAATTTCTTAACTACCGCGATTTTTACTTTAAAAAAATAATTAGTTGACACAAACATTTGAATGTTTCAAGAACATTTTTATTGATACTGATACAATATTGCAGATAAATAAAATGCTACGACAAAGTGCTAATTAATAGATTTGTTTTAACACTAATACAATAATAGTGTAACTCGAATTCTCAAAAAGCCATTTTCCTGAAAGAAAATAATTAGCCAGTATAATGTTCTTTCGGGAAATAGCTTTCGGAAATCGTACAGAAACCTTGATACAATACTATAATAGGTGCTAGTTTGCTAATTAGTAATACTAAAAATAAATGTTACTACTAGGGATGGCAAAAAAACGTTTTAAACAGTTTTTTATACATTTTTTATTGTTTTAAAAAATGTTTTAAAACATCGGTGGCTGATTTGAAATTTGGCTGGAATTGAAACTACTGCCTCTGCTTGGTTAATTCGGTTTCAGAGAGATATTTATTTTTTCATAATTGAATTTATTCGTTGCTTGTAAAGAAATTATGAAAGAGTCATAAATTTTGACTGATTTAATTTATTTTATATTTTTTTATCGAATAAATGTACCCTTTTATAATTAGAATTATAAAAAGAAATTATGGAAAAGTTATAAAAATGCATTTTGACCGACTTAATTTTTTTATTTTTATCAATATGCAAGACCTACAATATGTATTGCAAATATTACTTGATGACATTGTAGAACCAGAATTGTGAAGAAGGTTCAGAAGCTTTTTACATTTAGTTAAATGTTCCTTTAATCAGCAAATAAATCAACAGAGTTCTCGTTCGACCATGTTTGTCACTTTCTGTAATTTTGGCGAAATTCAGACGAATTTATTTCAATGGAGGTCCTCCACGAGACATAGTTATTCAAGGTAATTTTTTTTTTTTTTTGATATTAATAATCGTAAGAAATATTATTTATTAATAATAAAAAATTGAATTGCATAACTTTATTTATTTAAATCGAATTTCATAGTTTTATTTATATATTATGATTACGTCATTATGTTTTAAAATCAAACAATCGAGATTTTTAAGATCGTGTGTTTTAAAACATTTGCCAAAAAAAAAAAAAAAATCAATACTTATTTTGTTTTCGGATTTCGTATAGCAGTATGATTAAAGCATTTCAATTACCTAAAAAATTTTTTACATAATATGATAAATTTTTACAGTAATATTCGATAAAATCGTATACACGAAATTATTTACTAAAAAAATTTGAAGTGCTAAAACTCAAAAGAGCAAAATGTTAGTGTTAAACAGCGAAAAGGACTATTTAAAAAAAGAAAAACTGAAAAGAGCAAAACGTCAGTATTAACAGCGAAAAGAATTATTTAATAAAAAAAAAGTTTAGCCACTCTGAAATTGGGTTCGTTCAATGGAAAACGTTATTTGTATTCGTCCAATGGGAAGTGTGGGGAGAAATTAGTAAACCCAACAGGATGCCTCTAAGTAATTAAGATCAGGTATTCTAAGTAAAAATGGGTAGTACCCTCGAAAACCTAATTTTAACTAAAATATACCTAACCTCTTTCTTTATCTCAAACTGCACCCTAACCCTAAAAACATAAGGGCAGTGATTTTACCTCTGATACGTATATAATATATTTATATATTTATATACGTATAAAGTGGCATATATACTATATATATATAGTTATTAATTAGGTAACTATTGATACATCAAAAACGTAACTAAAGTATCTAATCATTAACATTAAATGTCCTTCGCTACGCTCCGGACAAAAATTCTATTAATTTACGTTACAATAAAAAAAATATATATAAAGTTGTAACTTGAGAAGAATTACTTAAAAACGCACCATATCAAGCATACGCAATTATGACGGGTTATTTTTGTACAGTACTGTATAACAGTCAATTTCGATTTCGTTAATCATACTTTGTGTATGCTTCTTTTTTCTTTATTCTACAATATTATTCTTGTGTATGCTTCCTTTTTTCTTTATTTATACAACATTTTACACATTCCAAAATATTATGGACTTTTTTATCGTTATGTTGTAAATCATGCCAAATTTACAAAAACTTTAGAGGCATTTCGTGAGAAAAAAAACTTGCGAATATTTGATGAGTATATTTAAAACAGAAAGAAAATGTTACAGACACTATTTATAAAGTCTCATGAAATTCATGACGATTAGAAATTAACAAATCAAACCTTGCAAATAATTACCTGCTATATATATCACCATGCCTGTCAATTATATAATTGAAAATCTTGCAATTCTGCAATTAATGCCATAATGAATAACGATAAGTCGAATAACTTTTAAATTCTAATTTTGTGAAGTTAAATATCTTAAGAGAAATTTGAATAATATCGTTATAGTCGACCTTCCCTCCATAAATGCACACGATACACACGATGTTATATAAATTGCATTAGACTGATCAAATGATGTGCAGAAGGAAGTGTGTACGTACACACATATACAGTAGAAGAGTAGTAATTCATATCACAAAAACAATTAGATATTGATTTATCGTTATGATTAGATCTACTATCATCTACATGTGAAATCACTTCGTCGCTATATACTGTAATTAAAATACACCAAATTGATCATTGCAGCATTGTTTTTCCTGCTGTGAAACGAGTTAAACTTTAATTAAATATTAAAAGAAAAAAGACTCAACTCATGACATGAATAGATCACCTGCCAATTTACCTTTATATATATATTAAAATAACAGTAATAAATATGCAAAATTAACAGGTTTGACGAGATGATGACTTAGTTGTGCACTTTCGACGGTTTTAAAAAAATGGCACCACACTTTCCTGAACATTTTACGCAAAAGAAGGATATAGTTTCTGAAACTCCCTTTGAAACTTTTAAAAACAAATCAAATCATGAAGACTTTCAAGCTCTTAATATATTCTATCAAGAAGCAAGAAATGCCTTCTTTCTAAGAGACTATGATTCTGCATATTCTTCGTGTGAAGCTGCGATTTCTAAACTTCCAAGTCTCCCTTTAGTCACCGAATGTCCTTCTACAAGAATCATACAAGTAAAAGTTTGGAATCTTTATGTAAATCTTATAGCTGCTCTGCTAGGTGAAAGAAAACAAATCGTGACCAAAGACTTTGAGATTAAAAATCTCTTAGAAAAACAGCCTGAGGTAATTTGTAGAGAGGTTTATAACAGAGTGGTTAAAGTTGGTTATGACAATGAAGATGGAGATGTTCCTGGCGAGGTGATTATTGCATGGTGGGTAAGAATTTTTTTTTTTTTTTGTTATAAACATATTTTTTATTCATTTTTAAAACCATTTTTTTTTTCTACTTATCTTCTAACTAATGATTTATACATTTTATAATGGGAATGGAATTAAATTTGATAGCGTACTTCTTTGTTTAAACCAAAAATGCTATAAGATTGCACGTAGTATAATAGAAGACTGGATTGAAAATACACCTATTGATTCAAGAAATGATTCAATGTTAAAGCCATATGAAAAAATTGTGGAATTATATATCTTACACGTTTTACCGAAAATGAAAGATTGGAATGCTGCGAATGAATTTCTTTCTAAAAATATTATCATAGATAATACTTACAAGCAGGTGAGAATTATATATAATCAAACATATATATTCATTAAATTTCTAAATTTCTAAACTGCTAAGCTTCATTCATTCGGAATAGACTTATGAACGAGCACTTGTGAAATTAAAAGACAAGTCCAATAGGTTAACATCTCTCAAACATACTAAATCAAAAAAGGAAAAACAGAAGAGAGAGGATGTTAATGGTCACAAAAATGGCCTATCACATCACCGAATGGACTTTAGTCATACAGGTGGAAGTATATCATCAACTAGTCACAATCAAAAACATCCACATAACGGATCTTCATCGTCATCGACTACCACAATTCGTCATAATTCTGCTTCAAAATCATCCATACTAGATAGATTCAGAAATATTTCGGGAAATGGCCAAATTTCGCTAGCATCAACGATCAACCGCATAGCCGACCTCTTTTTGGTTTATTTGCAAAGAGCTAGAGCATATATGTCCTACCCAAAAATCTATCAAAAGACCGTGCTCTTGTTGTTTCTCATTTCTATTATTTTAACTAATGGTTGGAATAGAGAAAAGTTACGAGAGATTATGGTCAAAGGAATGGTCAAACTATGGGCAACCGTGAAGGCTGGTACCACAATCACATATGTTTAAATTTTAAGATAATTAATAAGCTTATAAGAATTCATTTTATTTTATTTTATCATTATACACATTTAATATATATATCTTTTTTTTTTTTTTTTCTTGTGTGTAAAATATTGAAAAAAATTTTTTTAAAAACAAAAAAAAAAAAAAAATCGATCATTGGTTATTTAACATTACAAGGGTAAAATAAAAAATTGTTTACGAATTCTGAAATTAAATATTAGAGAAAATTCCTGCCGAATCAAAGTTGGCAATGGGAAACCTTAATGGAGTCAATGGAGCTCATTCATTGAAGTCCGTTCGGACCAGGGACGCGGTGATATTTATTTTGAAAATAAATAAATATCACTGCAGAAAATCATCTATGACTGCCCAGGTATTAAATAAATTACTTGAGTTGTTCAGATAAATGTTACATATTTTTGGTAACAATTTCCTACGGTGCAAATCACCTAATCGCATCAAATATATTAAATTTTGCTAATAATTATTTAAGGAAATAATATTGATGATTATAACACATGACACAATAATCAATATATACACTCCAGAACA